TGAAGTCCCTGGTAACACTCTGGCTGCTTTTGGTTTCAATGTATCTTTGTTATCTTTTACCAGATGGCAAAAGCTGGTGTGTGCTGCACCGTGTTCTAGTTGGGGTCTTTTAACAATGTTTAATTATCAAATGAAATGCCCCATGTTTATGGTATGGGGGTCACAAGAACAAAGGGACAAATAGGTGAAGAATAAAAAAGATTAAAGTGTAAAAGCAAGGCTCTGGCAAGCCTGCTTAAGAGGGAGGCGGCACACGTGGGCACAGCAGCAGCCATGTTCTGGAACAGCAGCTAGGGAACCTGCACCCCTCCTCATGTTGGAGTTCCCAGAAACTGAGGCTTTTGCTATTCATGAGAACATGCTATTTAGAGCTGAATCTCCTCGAAGGGTCTCTGTTGAGCTGGACCAAAGGATTCTGGGTACTTGGATGTTCTCTCACCTGCCAACTCTCTGTCCTTACTATCCAAATAGAAAGGAGGCTGAGAGCTCACCCTCCTCTGAGCAGGACTGCCCGTATCATTTGCAAAGTCCAGTGTGTAAGTTCAAGCTCCCCACACTAAGAATCAAGGCGGTGGACTGGGCTTCATCACAAGCATGGGGACCTGAGTCTGAGCCCCAGAAGCCAGCTAAGAAGAGCTGGTGTGGTGGGTGCTATAGTAGTTGGTGTTGAGGAGGCAGAGAAAGGTTCACTCCAGGGTTCACTCACCAGTCACCTGGTGTGTTCTGTGTAAAGGTTAGAAGGTTAATGGCTTCATAAGGATGACACTCAAGGTTACAGGTGCACTCATTTTTACAAGAACAACACACACACACACACACACACACACACACAGAGAGAGAGACACAGAGACAGACAGACAGACAGACACACACACACACGCCACAGACTTTTAAAAAGCGCCTCAAGATTCCAACAGTATTAAATAGAGCACCAGCCTTCCTAAGAGTTTATGACCGCTCAGGTGGCACTCTTACACTGAATTCTGCAGATGTGTGCTTATTCTGTTTCTGAACAAGTAAAATTTGATAGTTTTTATTAGAATTTATGTGTAGAATTTCTGTGGTGATGAATACACACAGCACTCACTCAGCTCGTGTGGATTGCAAAGAACCACCATAGTTCTCTTCAGTTCAATAGCTATAAATGTAAGTAGTTCCATGTGAGATGACGTAATTGTCGCGACCATATTGGACACTGACTGTATCAGGTAAACTAATGCCGATAAAGAAAATAGTTCTTTCTAGAATTTGTAGAAGTGAACACCTTTCCCCTTACCTGGTGGAGGAGCTGGGCTTGTAGGCCAGCCAAATTCTAAGTTCAATGGAGCATCTGAACTCACAAAAGTTTCTTTAAGGTTCAAAACTGTGAATCTTGGAGGAGAACCTTATCATCAAAACCTCCCAAGGCAGTTTCCATGGCAACAGAGAACGCATCCATGTATCATTAACAAAGAGTGACTAGGGTGGCTACATTGTTCGATTCTAGTATATTTCACCTGTACTGATATTTTCCCCTGATAGGCTAAGGATATGTTACCATGTCAGACAGTATTTGTCCAGGAGGGAGTCCTGTAAGTCACTGTGAGACATGATTGTTTAAAGGAGCATTATGGGTTGGAGGGATGAAGGCTCAACAGCTAAAGGCTTCTGTTGTCAAGCTCAGCAATGTGACTTAGATCCTTTGGACCCACGGGGTGGAAGACACACACATACACACACACACACACACACACACACACACACGGGTACATACACACTCATGCCACATACACATGCATGCACACACACAAATAAATGTAGTAATATTGTTTTTTTGTTTTGTTTTTTGTTTTATGTTTTACAAAAAAAGGGACATTAGGAACTGCACATTTAAAATGAGATGTATTCTTTGCTGCTCTTTGAAATTCCTATGAAAAGATGAACCATTACATTAGTTTCCCTTTAGGATCACATTTCCTCAGTGAAGGTTACTGCCAGGCCTGGCTTAAAGATGTCTGCCTCTGGCTTTCCCAGAAAGTCTGTCTTGGCTCCCCAGCTTGGGTTCAGCAGCCCAGCCATTTCTGTCTGCTCTTTCCCTCTCCAGCCACAAAGTCAGGGCTGTGGCAGTGCAGCTCTGAGAGGCAGCAAGGTAACCAACCACCTTACTATCCTGGTTTCAAGTCCATGAGACTGTTTTGTTGCCTGTGGTGTTTATGAAGTAACAAAAGAGTCATCTGTAAATATTATGCAACTAATACCACTGTATGGGCAAACAGGCTTTTATAGTTTTTATTTTATTTTAGTTATAAGTCATGATCTGAGGTCCCAACATACACGTGCATGGAAGGCCCACGCTGCTTCTTTCCAGGAGGCTCAGGAGGTGGGTAGATGGTCTCAGACGTTTGCAGTATTTGGGATGCTAAACATGTGCCTGTCTCCATGGGCTGCGCGGGGCTGAGTTCCAGAGTAACCCTTGAGATGCAAGACCTGATGAGGCTGCAGTGATCAGATTCTACTTAAGCATGAGAAGTAATAGTGGGGGAAAGGTCATTTAAAAGCTTCGGTTAGTCAGAGGTGATGGGTCGCATCTGCACACCCCTGGAATGTAGAAGGCTGGGGTGGAGGAGGCAGTGAGTCTGAAGCTAACCTGGGCTACAGTGTGAGGCCCCGAAGAACATTAAAGCTTGGCTCTGCCCTCAGCTCTGCCACATGCTCTTCGGTTTGAACAGAAACGACTTTCCTCTAAGAAGCCACCGGCTGTGTGTCCCGTGTTCTGCTGTGGCCATCCACACCTAACAGGATGGCACAGAGCAAAAGCGGTCCTTTCTGGAAGTTGGACTGACTTCCCTTTCTGCTTACATGAGAACCTGATTTTTCTGCAAGTTAAAGTAAGTCCTACACAAAACACAGTCACCGGTCAACTGTAAATACAAAAGCACAAGGGAATCTTGGATATCTTCTGCATCTTTGAGATAGTAAGATCTCATACTAGGATGAAGTCAAGCAAGCCAGGTATGACCTGAAGTTTCCAGAAAAAAGCCTCACTGCAGTAAAGGATTCCCTGCCTCTGCAGGGCTGGAATGAGGGCAGATACAGAACCAACTTATTCTGGGCTATCTTCAGTCCCCTTAACAGTTGTTTACTCTCCATCTCTGTGTTTGAGCTAACATCCATCCCTGTGACATCAGGGACCACCATGTACTAACAGACCGATATCATCCACTAACCCAAGGCTAAGAATGTCATCAGTATCTGAGGCTCACGGCGGCCAATTCCCAACTGCTGTAACCCACCAAGCTGATGCTTCAAGCATTTGTGAAACAAGCCTTGACCTAGTCATAAAACTGTACCATTTTGAAAAACCATATTTCGGGTAACCTGAATCTGTGTTCCCAGGCCGTAAGCACCCACAGTTGGCTCCGGAAAAGACTCTGAGGTGTGAGGGGTGCTTTTGCTTGGACACAAATATCACCCGTGTTTCCTTCTTTCAATGCACACATGCGGAACAAGTCCTTTTGTGTTTAATCTCCTGAGCCGTCTGCCTTCCACCATTTTGTGGGTTAACAAGCCTTAAAGGCATTCTCAGGAGGTAGCATGGAGATCATTTTAGGAAAATATGTGAAGAATATAATAATATATAAATATAAATAATATATATAAATATTCCATATATATATAAAGAATATAATAATAGAATATAAAAGAATATAATAATTTATCAGAGTACCTAGGTGACACACAATTCCCTTAAAACTTACTACCTAATGAATGGAGGAGGTGTGCCAGCAATAACTATTCAGATATCACGAGATGTGTAGGAAGTCTAAGCAAAATAATAATAACAACAAACAAAAAGCCAATGTATAGCTACTTTAAAATGTCCATTGCCTCTCCTGGGACTCTCAGACATCTTCAGGCTCACAGGTCCTAGAAGCTGGCAGGGATCGGTCGTTCCTGGTTGGCCCCTGACTTCCTTCAGCCATGGATGTGCCTTTAACTGTAAACTCGGTAGAGTTTCAGAGTACTCCTTTTCTGTCTCAGTTGTTCTCATCGCTAAAGTAAGAACTTGGTAAGTATACCTTCTAAACACTTCAAACAGACTGTGAAGCCAGTCAGCAGATACTCATTATTAAAATATAGGCATTTTCCTTGAAATATCTGACATTCTGCCCACAGTGCCTCTGTTATATTCATTCAGATGGTTCTTCTACTCTAAAACAATGAGGCTTCTCAGCCACTGGCATGCTGCCAGGAGTCTGAAGAGCACACAACCAAAGGCAGCCTTTAAACGGGCAGGGGATGAATAGGGGCCTTATCAGAACAGCTGAGGTCACATCCAACAATTGCATCTGTCAACGTTCACAGAGCCCCGTATAGACCAGGCCAGTCCCATAGCACAGCAGGACTGCATAGAGACCATACCAGAGCCATAGGCTCACAGCCCAGGAGGACCCCATAGACCACACCAACACCACACACCCACAGCACAGCAGGACCCCATATAGACGCCAGACTCACAGACTCATAGCCCAGCAGGATCCCATATAGACCATGCCAGACCCACAACCCCACAGCACAGGACCCCAGAGACCACGGCAGCCCCACAGCCCCACAGAACAGCAGCCTTTGGCTTCTGGCACCTTCAGACCACATGATCTGAAGACGAAGTCTGCCTCAATCCATTACTGGTGGACACTAAGAACTTCAGTGGTGTTGGCAGGACCATAAGGGCAATGGTAATTAATGTGAATTACCTAGAATCCCCAAATTAACCGATTATGATTAAGATAAGGAAAAGAAAATACTTACCAATATAAGTATTTATGCTGATTTCAAACCTTCCTCATGCCATTTTAAAGCCCAAGAAAATGATCAATCACCCTTCCTTCCTATGGAGCAAGCCTGTGGTTAGTTTTGTTTCAGGGGGTTCTTTATGAAGTCTAGTGCATCATGTGTCAATGTCTTGCTTCTGTATGTTGTGAATATACTGCACAAGGTTAAGCAACGAACACAAGCCAGGCTTTCATTAAATAAAATTTATTTGTTAAAATAATTCAACTCCAAATACAACTGTTGAATTTGCATTGAGTTATAGTGACAATTCATGTTTCGATTGAAATGCCAGGGCTTACCCGACGCTGTTACAAAACAATAAGCCATTGTTCACTTTTAAATGGTCAGTTGTATTAGAGTTCAACAATTAACTGTGAACTGGATCTCTGGGAAACCCCCGAATCGATAACGATAAGTCTATTTTCAAAATCTACTGCAGCCATTCTAGAAACCCTGATCGAGGTTTAATAGATACACGAGGACAAATTAAACAAGAGGACCCCCATGGTCTCTAACATCTGATTGGCTGAGGAGACAGTTAAAGCGGAGCCAGTGCTAACCGGGGGGGCGGGGCTACTGATGGAGAAACTAAGGAGCTAGCAACCCAACAGCAGCGGGGACAAAGCACATTCACCAGCAGCGACACTCACACTGGACAGCCCCCAGCCGTCCTTGGGCAACACAGAAAGCAAGCAAGCGTCAGTAGTTTTACTGCAGAGAGTGACGGCAGCTGGAGTGTCCCGTCAGGCCCTAATTCTACAAAGCGAAGGGTGGGAGCTTCAAAGCACCTCTCACGGTGAAACACCTAGAAGGCTTCCCAGCAGCTGCTGACTTGTCTCCTGGAAGCTGAGGAGCCCAAAGGCGTTGGTTACTGGCACTACCTCAGCTTAAAAGAACCCACAGGTTACACCTCAAAAGAAAGAAACCTAAAACAAAACAAAAACCTGGCTCTGTGTGATAGTAAAAAAAAAGAAAACAAAAAAACCCAAAAAACAAAACAAAACAACAAAACAAGCAACAACAAAAAAAACAAAGCAAAGAAAACTAAATAATAGCTAAAGAAATAGTGGGTCTTTGGGTCAAATCATATTTTTAAGGCATGTTAGAACAAACTTTCATTTATCTAGTTGCTAGGCGTATTGGGCTTTAAAGAAATATCGATGAGGCAATTCTCCTCTGCACCCTGCCATTTCATGTGCTGACAAGTGTCATTTTCCTGTCCTTGGGTTTTTATCCCCATCTCGGCAAATATCATGCACAATTGTCACACTTGCACCAGAGGAACAGGGAGAGGGTGTGGCACAGTTTGGCCTGAGGGAGTGGTGCCTGAACTCTGTGTAGGGCTGGTGTAAACGCGGGCCTTAGGAAGAGCCTGCCCAAGAGCCTGGCAAACGCCCTCACTTCACGCCTTGCCCGGCTTCTCACCCTTCAACCTTTCCATGTCTGCGCGGCCATCCACGACATAAAGCTGTGGGGTCTGTACAGCTGCTTCTAATACACAATGTCATAAACTGCTGTTCATTATGGGACTCTAAAAATTAGATTTAGCTGGACAAGTTAGAGGCCTCAGGTCAACATGCTAACATTTCTACTTCAGCAGATAAGATGTACTTCTTCAGTTCAACTTTTCCATATGTCTGAGTCAAAATCAATCTTTACATAACAAGCTTTGATTCAAGGAAACTTTTAGGACTTTCTGTCCTATAAAATGTGGAACTTAGGTGGAGAATATGGCGTTGACGAGCGTGAATTCTCAAAGACTTTCTAACACCCACAACCTGGTTTTACTCACTTGACTTATTTTTTTCTCACATAGGACAAACACCATTGACCTTTTCCCCCTATCTTGTAAACTCAAAGCCAGCTAATAAATACTTGGGGTGGGGGAGATTTCAATGGTTTGTAAGAGACAAATAATTTTTTTTAAAAAAAAATGCTTGCTTATACAATATGTTCTGCAGTATAGATTCTCAGTCGAGGTGAGGACCTCAGAATTGTGCCAAATTCTTAGGAACGACAAACACACATGCACACACAAACACACTCTTCTCTCTGGTACACACGAGACTAAGTGGTTACTTGCACAAGACTGTGGAGCCATGAAGGAAGGCGTGGGCCCTAAGTGCATCCAGGCTCAGTGACACTGCGGTTCTGAAGGCCCAACTGATCTTCAGCGGGCAGGCTCACGACATCCGCCAGCACGTACGCCTCTGGTGGGAGGTGAGAGCCCTTCCACACTCGATTGGGAAACTCCTGAATAGAAATTTATTTTTTCTCCTGTGCCATTACTCATGCAAATGATAAACACTTCACAGACATGAGAACCAAAAATGCCGGAGGGGGCTTAAGCACCCTTTAGAAACAGAAGACTCAGTCAGGCGGTGTGTGCCTTCAACCATCAGGGCAAAATGCACGTAAGAGAAGCTTCCATGATTCTCCAGGAAAGGGAAGAGGTTTTGTGCCCCTTCCTACACTCCCCTAAAATAATTTATACTCTACTTTTAAGCCCAAATTATTTCATAGGTCATTCAATCTGGTTTTTTTAATTCCTACAGCAAAGCAGTGCTACAGCAAACTGGATTTCCAAAGCAGATGAGTCAAGGGTCACACTGCAACTGTGGCCCTTAAAGGCTGCTTTCACAAACACGAACACACACACACACACACACACACACACACACACACACACACAAAGCCAGATGTTTGTACGGTCCTGTGGGGTGTCTGCTAACAGGAGCGTGTGGGTGTAACATGGCTTCATTTTCCTTCTGCGATGGTTAATCGGCTACAAGGCTCGTTAGTAAGGCTGGGCTCTCCGTCTCAGTTGCTTCTTTCTTGTTCAGTAAATAAAGACCATCCCTGCTCCGTTAACCGAGGGTGGGTGTGCGATTCAATTCTCATAAACCCCCATGAGATACTATGTTCTCTGGCAGAGCAGGTGATTCAACAAATTCTAAAGCCAGACTGGGTTTTCACACAGCCTTGTTCTGACTTTTACTCCACTGAGGACTGATATGTGAGTGAGTTTCATGTCACGAATTAGGATGGCATCTACAGTTAGGCATCAATTTGGAAACTAGAAACGTGTCAGCTGAGCAGGGCCTCCCTGCAATGCTGTTTTACTGGATGGAATACTGGCTAGAAGCTCCATCTGTTCCTGACTTCAGTACTCTCCTAGGAAAATATTTCTCCTTTATTTATTTTTTTTAAGACAACAAAATATTTTAATTGTTAGTGATCATAGGAATTCTTCTGGCTTCTCTCATGATTAGTTTACACAACAGTGGCTTCTGTCACCTCAATGGCAACGCCATTGTCACGTCAAACGAGGTCACCCTGTAGCTTGGCGGTGGTGCCTTCAGGTTGCAGACGTACAGAGGACTGAGGACAGAGGTGGAAGCTGTAGTCACGGAACCCACAGGTACTCAGAGGCATCAGCTGGCCACCGGCCTGAAGACTGCAGTGCACCGTGGACTCTCACAGCACCCATCCTACGAACTGCAGTGTGGTAGACAAGGTTACTGTTGCCTACGAGCCTAGATGAGTCCTGTCCAGGACAGCCATGTGCGGATGCTATTGTATGTTACAGGCAGAACAGCAGGGGTCATCTTTGTCAGGCTGAGCTGCGTAGTTCATCTGCCTCACAATCTCAGCAAAGAGCTCATCCACCATTGTTTTGCTCTTAGCAGAAGTCTCCATAAAGGGGCAGCCCCACTCCTCCGCCAAGGCACGGCCTTCATTGGAGGACACTTCCCTCTCACTCTCCAGATCCACCTTGTTCCCGACCAGGATGACTGGCACCTTCTCATACCTGAAAGAACATACATGTATCACAGTGGTTAGTAAGCAGGGAAAACAGAGTTTCTCTTTTTCTCTCTAGTATGGTATGAATGATCTCTTTGGCCACATGAAAAGTTACTTGTACCAGTTGGCTTGGTGTCTACCTAGGGCATTCTGAAATTGCTCTCAGAAGGGATCAAAAATGGGCTTTTCAAATGATGTTTTCAATTAATCAATTATGGATCCTTTAAAACCAATTATGTATCCTTTTCCAGATATGCTTGGGAAATTTACTCTTACCATCTCAGACTGACTTCTCTTAATTTAAAAGTTCATGAGATGTGCACTCCAATCTCAGCCAGTCGTGCAATCGTTAGTTTTACTGGTAATGTAATTGTTACTAGTAACAATTTTACTATATTCTATAAGGATACAAACAAATCATGTTCTAAATAGCTCCTGAACACAACAACAACAACAACAATAACAACAACAACAACAACAACAAAGAAAGCTGTAACTGTAGTGAAATTCATCAAGATGAAAAGCATCAAACAGAAGCACACCCTGTTCCACATGGAATCAGCTAGCTGAAAGAAAAAAAGTCATTGATTTATATTTTTTATAGTTTAAGGATTAAAGTACAGCACATTAAGGAAATGGGATACTGGATGCACTCCCCTACGTAATATCTTTACAATTTCCTTGTCCTGTCTGTCAAGATGGCTCTCCCTACTTACCCTAAAGCCAAGTATTTCCCCAATGGGCACTTGGGCTTTCCTTTGGCAAGAGAGCAAACCGATGCCTCCATGAGGGTCTGTCTATTCCAGGCAGCAAAACAGAGGACTGGAAGGTAAGTGGGAATACCCAGTGTGGCGCTCACATCAGCAGTCCCAGCAGAAAGGAGACAGGCTAGAGTATTACTGAGTCTGGGACCAGCCCTGTTGGTACAGTTGGCAGCTCAGTTGGTACAGTGTTTGCTTTGTAGGCCTAAGACCCCAAATCTAATCCCCAGAACCCACAGCAAAGAGCCAGGCACAGTTGCACATGCTTCTCAGCTCAGCTCTGGGAAGGCACTGAGGGGAGGGTGCCTGTGGCTCGATGGCCAGCCAGTCTACTTAACTGATGGACAGCAGGCCAATGAGAGACCTTGCTTCAGAGGTGGATGGCGATCCTCAGGGGGATGTGCAAGCTTGTCCTCTGGACTCCACACACGCAGGTACAGGCAAGAACACACCAACGTGTGTATATAAAAAAAAAGTAAAGATAAAAGTGGGACCGCATCGGGTGAGTCTAGAAGACGGACATTCCGTTCCTTCTGGGAACCGCAGGCAGCTCTGATCTGCACCAGGGGCGCCTGGGCGTCCCTGTCACTGCTGCCCATATACCTTTCATTCAGGACTCTCTTGCACACACTCCCTGGCCCCTGGGAGCACAGACGGTAACGGCAATGGAGCTTCGGTACACAGACCCGTTACCAGCTCATACCTGTGGAACTGAGCGGTCAGGCACTGAGCTTATACTGCCCATATCAGTATCAGACTCTAATCTGTTCTACACTCAAGGACGTAGCTGCTTTCCCTGTTTCTTCTGGGGACACAGAGCACAAGATTCATGTCTTGATTTGTTAATGAAGCAATTTACAAATGGTAACAAATAACATTTATCGAGTTGAAGTTAAGACCTAACTTCAGTCAGTTAACTATACTCATTGAGAATGTTAAGTGCTGAGACATTGCTTTCTAATGCTGGGCCTGGTGGTGACAAACACCTGTAATCCAAGCACTTAGGAGATGGAGGCAGGAAGATCAGGAGTTCGAGGTCACCCTCAGCTACATAGTGAATTGGTGGCCAGCCTGAGGTAGATCTCAAACTAACAAATCACTTTCTATTATTAGGTAAAAGAAAAGTATCCTAAAGAATCCTAAGCTTAAATACAATAGTGTATCAATATTTTATAGTTAAGAGAGACAACTTTTAGTTGAAAAGCACAGGATCTATTAGATCACGATGACTTTTCAAAATTTGCAAAAATATCAAGTTATTAGCAGTTAGCTGACACGTGTGCTCTTCAGTCTGGAGGCTAAAGTTCAAACAGATGGTGGCCAACCTACAATCAACAGGTCTCCTTGAGCAGGTTGACAGCTGAGTCCCTGGCACTGTTCTGCATTACAAACACAGGTCTGAATCCAGTGGCTATTAGTAACATGCAGTAATGGGGTGAAAATGTAGCCAGTACCAGAGGACCTGTCTACCTCTACTAACTGAACAGACAGTGGTCTTTTTGGTCATCAGGGTATTAAGGATGCTAAAGAAATGCAGATTAATAACCTGATCAAGAAACCTGACAAACAGGTCAAAATCTTGAGAGGAAAACAAAACAAATCAACAACACTCCTATATATTTCCAAACATCAGATGGCAATAGACTTTGTCTCTCTGTTAACACTAGAGTTTGGGACAGTGGAAAATACTATAACTATGGTGTGGATGGAGGCTTGGCTTTCACCCCTCCCCAGGAGAGGCTGCAAGGCTGAGCACAGCACTTCCTGATATCTGTGTCTCATCTCAGTTGGTAAAATGGAGCTTGGGTACCTGTTCCAACTTAATGCAACAAAGATGCCGTCAAAGCCAGAGGAGGCAATACAGGAATCCAGATCAGACAGCAGACGACGGGGCCACCCCCTCCTGCCATCACACTTATGTAAGACCACGGCTTGCCAAAAGACAGAGGGTTAGGAAATCAGAAATCGTCAAGAGACGGAGAGATCTGCCGAGGAGAAACAAGCTGTGCCAAGGGGTCAGGGTTGTAAGGTGGAACTAGGAGGAGCTGGGGAGCCATACTGTCTGCACACAGTGTGCGGATGCTTTAACTCTGTGGATACCACGGGCTGCGCCGAGCAAAGGCCTACTGTGCAGTGGTAGCAGAATGGTGGGAGACAGTCAACAGAACTTTGGATCCTAGACTTTGTCATCCATCCACACTGGTTTTCTAAGACCTACGACATCCTACATACTGCTATGCCCACTTAGGATACACAAGAAACAACAAAGACCTCCGCCCTCATGCTGACTATAGCCCAGCAGAAGAAATGGGTATTAGCAATAAAGGTAAGTTAAGGTTTATTAGAGATAAGAGAGGTAGGCCAGAGAGCATGCTGGGGGCACAGGCACCATCCTAGGAAGGATATCACAAGTTTCATTGGGGAGGTGTCATACAACGTTAAGTCAAGGGGTAAGGAATCTGCCAGGGAAGTATCAGGGAAAACTAGGTATCAAGAGCTTGTAGGTAGTGCCTGTTGGTTCAAGGAATAGCAAATGGCTTGCAGGATCCGCCTGTAAGACCCCTCCCATCCCTGCTGAGGCTCGCAATGCAGGTCACACACTTCACCTGAGAAACAGAGCTGGGGACAGGCGGGGTGCTGGAAGTGACCTCATCAGACACAGCACTTACAGCAACCGACGTCATTATTTAGGAAGGCCCCACACTTTGTGAGTAGGTGACGGCAACTACTCTCATGTCTGATTCCCATCGCAGCCCCGTGGGTTTCCTTCATTTCTCCTTTTTCAGAGGATATCATTCGGGAAGAAGTTGTGAAGGCCAAATTCCAAAATTACTCTATGGTTTATGAACCACTGATAACCTGCGTCATGAAGGGGACGCCATTGTTGGGATCGGAAGGTGGTCAGTTAGCTTGTTTGTGGACTTCGGGAAACATTTGTCTTATTAACATGAATTTACATGCTTCTGTTATATTTATATTCATGAGTGTGATTATATAATGTATGAATAAATCAAAGCAGCTGCACTTAATGGATTGCACAAAGCATCGCTTAGCTGTAGAATGCTGACGGGCTTCTCAATGCGGCCGCTCTGTAAATATCAGTGGCTTGGAGGCATTGACTGTGCTCATCAATAGGCTGCTTTTGCTTCATAACTGTCCTAACGTGTGTGTTTATGCACACTTTATTCTGGGAATGTCTAAGTCTGGCTGGTCATTAAAACAACTTGAGAATTTAGGTACTGATTCCTGGGCCCTGTTCCAGAGCTACACTGAGTCTGAATCTGTGGGATCACATGGATCTATACATACATAAACTCTGCAGACAGCCTCTGAGCTTCAGAGATGTCAGGAACCAGTAGACTCATTGGTGACGCTGATCCCAATGGCACCATACACCTACCATCTGTGACTTCACAATCAGCAATCTAAGAGCAAGGCTCTCTTCTGTTCACACTCATCAGGGTAAACGGTGGTGAGATCTCTGCAGTCAGTCCCGCTAATCTCATTTTGAGGGTCTAATACTGTAGCACTTTAAGAGAAGGGCATGTCTCACAGGGTGGGGGGATGGGGTGGGGGGGTTCAGGCTCTTCTTGGCTGTAAGCTGGTTGGAATAAAATCTTCTTTCAGTTCAGAATAGAACCAGAAAGAGTTTTTCTTAGTTTCCTTGTTCAACTTTCTTCACAGTATTAAATTCTCCTCAGAGGGTCTGAGGCAAATAGCAAATACTCAGAGGCGTCACCATTCTGGGGCCACCCTTGCCAGTGTCTCTGCAGTGTTCTGAACACCTTCCATGACACAGAACTCACACTATGGGCAGGCAGTTGACTATGTCCTGCTGTCAGTTCCTTAAATATTAGTGTTAAAAATTCAGAGTTTCAAAGTTTGCTGTGCTCAGACCTGTGATGTCTGCATTGACTCCTCTTCTCAGGTCCTAACTTCTGTCTTGAGGAACCTTTCTTTTTCTGCAAAATGGAAACAGGTTTTCTCCCCTGCTTCTTTGTTCAATCAAACACTGCATCAATGTTTAAACAAACAAACAAACAAACAAACTCAAACAAATTCCCACTAATACTTAAACAGGAGGGAGGGAAGGAGGGAGGGGAGAGGGGGAGGGGAACAGAGGGGGAGAGAGGGGGGAGAGGGGAGGGAGAGAAGAAGAGAGAGGGAGAGGGGAAAAGGAGAAAGAGAGAGAGAGAAAGAGAGAGAGAGAGAGAGAGAGAGACAGACAGACAGACAGACAGAAACT